TGTCGGGACTGAATGTCTTATTTTATTTATGTATTCAATTATTTATTCATGCGCTCATTTATTCTAAATATTTCAAATTATATCCTACTGGGCCTTTCGCTCACGTTTTATGTTTCAAATGTTTAAAACCCCTCCCAGGAGACTCTAGGAGCGGGGCACATTAGCGGGAGTAGCTGAGTGGTGCTACGGAACGATCAAGTGAGGATTGTGTTCATCCTCTGACATAAAGTGTAAGGAATATGTAAGAATTTGTAATAAATGATTAATATTGGATTTACTAGACTGTGGTTGATATCTGTTGTAATGATTAATTACATGAGCATGTATGTACGATACTATATGTCCTGTGAGGTGGAGCCTTGTGTGTCAGAGGCTCCTGGATTATGTCGTTTATTTATATTTTAATGCAGTCAAGTGTGGGGCCCGGTTGGGAATCTGCTTTATTAATCCCTAATCGAGCTCCACGTCACCCACCCCGTTTGGGGGGGCGTGACAGTCATGCTCATCGACGGCGGATTAGAAACGTAGTGTTTTTTTTTTCCTTAATTTGGGTCTTTTCTATTATTATTATTATTATTATTATTCTTATTATTATTATTTAAAAAAATCAGTTGTAATCTTTTTCTTTTGTGAATAATTGGGTGTGATATAGTTTTTAATTGTTTTGGTGCATCTTTTTGATATGAACCATTAAATGATAATGAAAAGGTTGGTAATATTCCCTTTTATTAGAACTCATAGAACTCACTTTTCTGTTAATGATGGTCTTGACATAGATGGTGTCCCAATCTTAACGTCCCAAGCATTTTTAATTGGGTGTGATATAGTTTTTAATTGTTTTGGTGCATCTTTTTTATATGAACCATTAAATGATAATCTAGGTTGGTAATATTCCCTTTTATTAGAACTCGTAGAACTCACTTTTCTGTTAATGATGGTCTTAACATAGGTGTCCCATGCATTTTCCATCGATAGTCGAATACTACTACTTAGGTCTCGTTCACTTCGTAGATTCGAGTTTTCAATTCGAGTTGAGATGTCATATTTTGTGAGAACTTTTCACTGTAACAGAAAAAATTAAATGTGACATTTTTTAAAAATTTTTTACTGTAAAAATTTAAAATTAAAAACTTAAATCGATAAAATGAACAATACCTAAATAATTAGTTGAGTCACATGCGGAAACCTCACTTTTTGTCCTAAAAAATTGTAAAATCTGGGATTTCTTATTTAAAGCAGTGAGATCTTGATTTTCTTTTTCCCTCTATCTTTTTCCCTGGAATAATCTTGAAATTACCTTAATCATCATTTACAGCATCATCGCAAAACCTATATATTAGGCTCACTCACACCCTTTCCCCCCTCAAGCAGGTTCCTAGTCTTCTCACGCCAAAACCATGCCAAACCACATCATTCCCTTCGTCTCTCTCCTCCCTCTTCTCCTCCTTCTCGTAGTTTCCAGAAATGGCGAATTCTTCGGGTTCGCCGAGGGAGGGAAGGGAAGGATCCACATCACCGACGACCTCGACGACGTCGTGGACGACGAGGAAGACGAGTCCTGGAGGCAATGGGGTCAAAAATCGACGCCTATTTCCGACGACGACGATCTGAAGCCAACCGATCTGTCAAAGATGGCGATGTCGGAGATCCAGGCCGAGTTGGCGAAGCGCCAATCGGGACCGGCCTTCGGCTTCATCAAGCTCCGATTGGGCATCAAGCGAACTCCGGTATCCATTTTTGGTTCTTCGATAAAAAAATTCGTAACTCCTTTCCCCCCAATTTTCTTGTTCGTTGATTGTGTCGTGAATTGGAAATGAATTTTGATATCAGGATATGGTGTCGGAGATTGCTATGAAATGGACAAAGGTTCTGAAAACGGGAGGTGTTGAGGCCAAGTTCATGGGCGTTGATCTCAGCACAATCATGTTCACCATGGAAAGAGGCCGAGACGATTCAGAGGTTGTATAGTGTAATTCTGTTCTTTGCTTCAATTTGTTCTTAAAAAAAAGTTTTTTTTTTTTAATAGATTTTGATTTTTTTTTTTGGGGTCAGTTGAAGGAGTTTGTGTTTGAGCAAGAAGAGGCGTATGAGATGAAGATTGGTGATCAAGTTTTGAGAAGGCCAGGAGATCCTCCTCTGGAGGAAGTTGTGGAAAAACTCCACAAGGGGAAGGAGAAGAAGAAAGGAGTCTTGAAAGAGGAGTTGTAGCAAGTTGACTGAAATTTCACTTGACATTGATGATACAACTAATACTGAGGATTGATTGTTTACGCTTTTTATCACTCACCATTTTCTCATGTCGTTAGACTTGTAAACCTGTTCATCATGTTCTAACTGTTGTGACTTGTGAGCTGCTCTTTCAGCTTATTGCTTGATTCCACTGTCAGATCTCCATTCCTTCTGATGATGGCTATAGAATTTGAAAGGGGAAAAATAAAATTTGTTTTTAAATTGAAAAAGTCAAAGACGATTTACAAATTTGACTGTTAAAAAATGAACCCTGTTGAACGAGATATTCTTTCGTACCTTATTGTAAAAATCTGATTTTAATTTTAGAATCTTGCTGCGCACAAGTTAATCTTGTCAAATATGGGAAGTATTTCGCATAAAAATATAGTATTAGAATATCTAGTCCCCCAATACTGTGATAGAAAAAAAATGGCGGTGACAAATTTAAGTTTGGCAGTGTAATTTCATTACTACTCAAGAGTTCAGTTCCTGTTCCTCAAAAAAATTCGCCTATTTCCTTTTCTCGTGGGAGCAAATCACTCACATATAAACACTAGCTTGGCAGAGAATTTTTCTTTTTTAGTATTTATCTGTGGTTATGGTGGGAATATTTATGATAAATTCTCCCCCAACCAAAATGGAATTGAGAAAGAAGAAAACTCGATGCAAGTTCAAAGATAACCTGTGTCAAATAGGGTATAATGTTAATCTAAAAATCCGTGGACGTTTATTCTGGGAATGCCAACCGATAACGCAAAGCTATTTCAACTTCTCACTGAAGTCTGCGAGTTCAAGGATGCTTATTCGGGGAACGCCAGCTGCTTCCTCTCTCTCTTTTGGAGTATTGTACCCCCAATTTCCTGCTCAAAAGAATGCAGTTTAGCACTAAAATGTAGCATAAAGAAGCAACACCCCAGCAAAACGGAGGTAGACAAGGAGTTCGACAAAGAACATGCAAATTGACGACGAATGGAAGGAAAGGAGAAAGGAGTACCTAGATACAAATTCCAACCATCCAATTCAGGTTCTCTAATAACATTCTTTAAGGTTGCTAGTCGGTCTTCCACAAAGCTGGTCAACAAAGATCACTCATTGTCTAAGTTTTCAACAAACTTTTCTGATGAATAGCTCATTATCAAAGGTTTCGTGAGTAAACTTTTCTACTTGACAACTGAAGAGTGGATCAAATTGAAAGTAACAAACATAACAATGAATAGCATAGGTGTTGGATCCGTGGTATCAGCTCAACAAGATTGAGTTCATCATAGAATGCATTTAACAACACATTTCATTATCAAGCAGCAAAGAATCTTACTGTAGTCTCAGCCCCTGGTGTTCTGGCCTGCTTTGAAGTTGCTTCAATACTTTTACCTTGGGACTGAAAGCCATATTAAGGGAAAAAACAAAATCTTATTTAATATCCCATGGAAGCATAGGAACAACTATAAGAAAGCTGGAAAACAAAATTAATGAGTTTCTAACAGTAAATATATACTAACCCAGTTCCCAGGCCATATATCCTTTCAGTAGGCATCGTTACCCCTGCAAGTTCTCGCAGTAAAACATCGGCAAATCGGCTCTGGAGTGGGCCAAAAAATAGAAATCAGGGTCAGGTGAACAAAAAATGACCCAAGCCCATAATATACTAATTTATAAGAGGAAACTTGTCCAGGGCATATGCATTTTTTAACGGCCACAGAGCAGAGCTAATTGAACACTGTTCAAAATTTTCAAACTGCTAAATCAAAACTATTTGTTAATAATGTGACTCTGATTTATGAGTTGGTTATTAACAGGTTAAGTTTGTTATAACTAATGGGATTGCAGCCCAATTAGTTGTTGAGATAAACTTAATTATCTCAGTTAACCAATTGTGGTTAATTTTCTGACTCAAGTTAATAAGTTGGAATCTTTGTATGTTAAGAAGACTATATCTAATAAACTTCTACTTAAAGGCCAATTATTTGGATTTAAAATGGATCCTGCAAAATCCCTAGAAGATAATCTTGATGATTTTAAAATTATTACTGTGGGTCTGTCTAATATTGGTGAGAAGATTGATGACGAAAATCAAGCAATCATTCTCCTAAATTCCTTGCCCGAGTCTTTTAGTGATATGAAAACAACCATGAAATATGGTAGATATTCCTTATCCCTAGAAGATGTACTAGGAGCTTTAAGATCAAGAGATCTTGAAATGAAGTCAAATAAGAAAAATAACTCTAGCGGAGAAGGTCTTCAAGTAAGAGGCAGACCTGAAAAGAGGGACCAATCGAAGGGTAGAAATAAGTCAAGATCAAAGTCTAAGAACAAGACTACTAAAGCATGTTGGCACTGTCATCAAGAAGGCCACATTACAAGGTTCTGCCCTTCTAGAAAGAAGTCACAAGATGGTGATTTGCAGAAGACTGATTAAGCAAATGTATCAGTAGGTTTTTAAATGGCAAAAGTCTTGACTGTGTCTCAAATTGATTCCAAAGATGAGTGGATAATGGACTCAGGATGTACCTTTCACATGACTCTAAAAAGAGACTGGTTAATAGATTATAAGAGTCTTGATGAGGCTCTGTGTTCATGGGGAACAACAACTCATGTAGAGTTGCTAGTATCGGTGCTGTTGTGTTTAGAATGTGGAATGGCTCTCCCAAGAAACTCGAGAATGTTAGATTGTCACGCCCCTAAACAGGAGTTAGTGATGTGGAGGCTTGTTTAGAAATTTAAATCTGTTTAAGAAATTGATTAACAAATAACAGTGCAAAAATTTAAATTTCAAATCCAAAACATCCAGGTATTTCCAAACAAGCCCCACTAACTATGAGAAATTCAGTTGCAAGAAAAGTGGTGAAATTTCCAACCAAACCAGTTCAAAACCTCACACCTGATATCATGTCAGGAATTCCCACAGGTTTAGCATACATGAATATAACAAAAGTAAATGTTGACATCAACCATAATCTAGTAAAGGGAAAGAAAGTTCAAATCTTCACTTCTCGAAGACGGGTTCACCTCACCGATAGTAACTACTTATTCCGCACTATTTCTCGCATCGCCTGGAGAGGTTTAATACATTTGAAACAAGAAAAGTGAGCGGAAAGCCTAGTAGGATATAATTTTATAAAACATTGTAAATAAAGGTACTCACGATCCGAAGACATATACCCGGAACTGATCATCCTTTAAAAAAAAAAGGAAATACTCACGTAGTAGTAGCAAAATATCTGTATAATGAAAATATGCAGAGCCATAACACCACTGAGCAAGAAATGGATCCGTACGAGTTTCAGGTTCTGCCCCCAAGGATACGATTCTCATATCCCGATCTCTGAGGCCACCATGCGTTATATTATTCCTTAAAATATTTCATTTTAAGAAATGATACTCTTTAAAATCACATTTCTAAAATCACTGAAAAACTTAATAGCATTATTCATGCTATTTCCTTTAAAATCATTTTCTTTCAACATGTTTTGTTCTAAAACATTTTCATTAGCCAAAATCATTTAAAGGTTAATAAAGATATGGACAAGAATATCTTACCTCTCGGATGTGAAACCTGGGCTAGCCATTCGTTCTCCTAGCCTCCGTTTTCCTTAAAGGTTTAATACTTGACCTTCTCCACTAGCTTTATCACAAAAGTAATGTCTTAGGAAATATTTCTCATTCCTAAAACAAATTACGCTCAATCAAGTTTAATTATTTCCTATTAGTGTGCCTTGACTCAAATCCAAGTTTCACAAACGATTTTTATAATCAGTTTGGGGGTTCTTTAAAGATTGAAATCTAATTCATGGATTTGGTTTCCTATTTAATTTCAGCTTTAAAACAACTTTTTAAAGAAATTTCGGCAGCATGCCGATATAAATAGGAAAAAAGCCAAACCTGCAATTCAAGTTCAATTTCAAAATAAATTCTCCAGAAATTATCAAAATCAGTTTCCAATCAATTCAACAAGTCCAATAACTGAAAACCTCCAAATTTCATTCAATTCTAATAACAATTGTTCAAATCCAAACCCTAACTCAAAATTATTCAAATCTAACCAAAATTTTAAATTCTCAAATCAATAACTCAAATTCAAGTGTGGGTTTTTAAGAAATCTTTATCTCAAAGTGATTGAAGCTTGTTTTCCCTCTATTTCTCTCATTTTATTTTATTTTTTTCTTCTTCTGAGTTTGGCCAGCAAGCCAAGAGAGAGAGAGAGAGAGAAACGACCGGAGAGAGAAACGGCCGGCGTGAGAAAGAGAGAGCCCGGAGAGAGGAAGAACCGGCGTGGAAGAAAAAAGAGAGAGAGAGAGAGAGAGATGTGGTGGTGAACGTGAAACCAGAGGAGAGAGAGAGAAAAGAAAAAGAAAGAAAGAAAGAGAGAGAGAGAGGTTGCAGCCACGGGAAGGAAAAGGAAGGAAAGGAAAAAGAAGAAAAGAAAAAAAAGAAAAAGGAAAAATGAAAAAAAAAAAGAAGGAAAATGCATTAAAATTTAAGTGTATTTTCAAAAACTTTTGGGGTGAAATCATATATATTGAAAATAATTTAAAGTTTCTTGATTAATTGTAAAAATCAAATTAGGCACACTAATAACTCCCAATTTAGCATAATTAAACATGTTTAATTCTAGAGGGCGTTATAGCTCACCCCCCTTAAGAAATTTCGTCCCTGAAATTGAAACTTATCTCACGATATGAATAGATATAGATATCGTTCCTGCATCGTCGTTTCCAATTCCCACGTTACTTCCTCAACGTCATGATGTTGCCACAACACCTTCACTAACGGTATCTCACGTTGACGTAGGCTTTTCATTTTCTGGTCAAGTATCTGTATTGGCACTTTCTTGTAAGTCGTGTCATACTGGATCGACACGTCATATCATTGTACAATGGCTTCTGGATTAGGTTGATACTTCCGAAGCATAGAAACATGGAACACGTTGTGCACGTGAGACAATTCTGGAGGAAGATCAAGGCGGTAAGCAACGACACCAACCTGTTGTGTGATTTGAAACGGTCCAACGTACCGTGGTGCAAGTTTCCCCTTTACAACAAAGTGAGTAATCTCTTTGCGCGGAGAAACCCTTAACAAGACAAAATCGCCTTCTTGGAATTCTAAACGCCTCCTGTCAGCATAACTCTTCTGACGACTCTGAGCCGTTAGTAGTAGTTCCCGGATAACGGCTATCTTCTCATTATTTTCTTGGATAACATCCGGTCCAAGAGTGAGTCAATCTTCTGACTCAAGCCAACAGACTGGCGATCTGCAAGGTCTGCCATACAAGGCTTCGAATGGTGTCATTCCAATGCTAGCCTAATAACTGTTGTTGTAGGCGAACTCGGCTAAATGGAGATACTTCTTTCAATTTCCACCTAAGTCTGAAACGCAGGTACATAGCATATCCTCTAAAATATGGATGACCTTCTCAGATTGCCCATCTGTTTGAGGATGAAAGGCGGTGCTGAAGTTCAACTCCGTTCCCATGGCTTCTTGAAAGCTTTTCTAATATCTGGCGTTAAAGCGAGTGTCACGGTCCGATGTGATGGACAACGGAACTCCGTGAAGTCTGACAATGTGTTCCAGATACAACTCTATTAGAACTTTCCTGGAATACGTCGCACGAAACGGAATGAAGTGCGCGGACTTCGTCAACCTATCCACAACAACCCATATGACATCGTGCCTTTGCTCGGTCCTTGGCAATCCCATAAGCAAATCCATCGTAATGTGTTCCCACTTCCATCCCAGGACAGGAAGAGGTAATTTCCCAGCGGGTTTTTGATGTTCTGCTTTAACCTTAAGACATGTAACACATTGTGAAACATATTTATGAATGCCCCTTTTCATTCCTCTACACCAATATTGTCGTTTTAGGTCTTGATACATCTTTGTACTTCCTGGGTGGATGGCAAACCGCGACCTGTAAGCTTCATCAAGAACGGCATTCTTTATCTCGTCTACCTTAGGAACAACTAAGCGGTTCCTAAAGTATAGCGCTCCATCTTCTCGGACATTCCAATCATCTAGCCGTTCTCCGTTCTGAATTCAAATCCAGATCCCTTGAAGATGTGGGTCCTTCCATTGATTCTGTTTAATGCGCTGTACAAGTGTTGGAGCAGTAATTGAGTTGTACACCATAGCTTGATTACAGTCTTCATAATACTGAAGATCATAATTCTCAACTACCTCAGTCCTTTTCCAATCCTCTAAAGCTAGAGATGCGAGAATCCCTGAAGTTTTCCTGCTGAGAGCATCTGCTACCACATTAACTTTTCTAGGATGGTATTGAAGGGTGAAATCGTAGTCTTCCATATACTCCATCCATCTTCTTTACCTTAAGTTCAGGTCTTTTTGAGTAAATAAATACTTTAAGCTCTTGTGGTAAAAAAAGACCTGAAATTTTGCTCCATAGAGGTAGCATCTCTATATCTTGAGAGCAAAGGTCACCGCTGCTAACTCCAGATTATGCGTGGGGTAGTTCTGCTCATGTGCCTTCAGTTGACGAGATGCATAGGCCACAACACATCCATTTTGCATCAAAACACACCCTAGTCCTCGCCTTGATGCGTCTGAGTATACTTCGTATGGTTCCTC